TTTGTTCAAGAGTGTGTCGTAAATCAGAAGGTTGGTCATGTCGTGATAGTTCTGGTAACGACGGAGTAGGCTGTCGTGGTCGATGTCCAGAATGGCTTTCTGCAGTCGCCTCTGATCGCGCTGGTTCTGGAATTCGAGTTTGTACTGGAACTACCCCACGATTTTGAGTCGTTGCATCATGTTGTGATTCATGTGTACGTGGATGGGAAGTTGTATGTGATGTGGCAGGAATATTATTTCTTCGTGGAACTGGAATTGAGCGAGTTTGAGGATTAGCCGCTGGGGTTGATTCTATTCTTGTTCGTGCCATAAAATCAGTTAAATTTTTCAAGAATTCTGGATCTTGAAATAGAGCTGAATAATCAATTGATGTAGATGGCACGGCAGAAGTTCCGGTTGTATGAGTAGGATGACGATTGATCCCAGGGTCAGGATTTCGTTCATTTCGTCCAGAATTCGACATCCTTTGTGCGTTGTTTTACAAGACAGACAATTGAAAAGAGAAAGCTGCCCTCCTTCTAGCGCCAAACTGTTGCTGTCCTGAATTAGCAACTTAAAATTAAACACAGTTGATGTTCAAAACCATGAAGATAAAAGTGTAATTGAGTTTTTATTGATTATATTCGAGTACAGAAGTCGGTTTTTAGTTGAAAACCGAGGTTGTCTTAAGTTCGTGTACCATGTGATCGAAAAAGGATCCTCGTACTATCATAAATTCTGCTATTTATAGTACGGTGGCTTTTGTCTTCTTTCTCGAAATGGATAGAGATGCATTTAATATTGAGCTGCTTTGTTTTGAGGCGGCGGGAAACATCAATGATTGCCTTTTTTGTTTTGTTGGTCCAATCAGATGCTTCTAATGATTACTTTCTGTTGGAATGCTCAAACTTTATAGTAGTCGGTCGATTTGGAGTCGGTTTACTTACGTCGGTTTCGGATGTCGGTTTTGATCCTTTTTTGAGTCTCTCGGAAGTTGGATCTTTCGGAAGTCAGCAATTCTTTAGAAGTCGGTAATTTGCTATAATATATCCCGACTTTTAGTACCTTTGATTCTGATTTTTGGATTTGATATCAACAGTTTCATAGTTAAAGTGCTAAAATCGATCTAGTGTGAATGTGGGGCTGACTTTAAAACTACTCCTTTGTCTGAATGTTGAGATCGCAATTTACCCAATTATAAAAATACTCCCAATGTTTAGTCTAATTACGAAAAACATTGAAATTATTTTTCTTACAACTTCTCCATATCTGTATCATTGAAAATTACTTATTATATATCATTTTTGTTATGGAACGAANCACCAAATTTAAAAAATAAAAAAAAAAAACTAAAAAAATAGCTATATATACTTGTATGCATACGAATAATATTTTTTGAGCATTATTCAATTTTTTTAAAACCTAAAGACTACCCAGGAGTTCCTTAAGTGGAAATATTAAAATCAGAAGATATTTTTTTAGCATTATTCAATTTTTTGAAAACTTAAAGACTACCCAAGAGTTCCTTAAGTGGAAAAATGAAAACGAGAAGATACGGCAAACGATAGTACACGACTACATGTCAAAAGCTAAAGATAGACCTGTTGACCTTAATAAGTAAATCACAAAGGTAGGAAAAAAAATAAAATCCTTGTAACTAACTATAGCCATTTAATTACATATATAATCCTGAACTTTGAAAATGTTACGAAAAAGACCATGTTATTGTAGCCATTAACATAAGCTTAGTTATGCAAACTTGATCTTAATAATTCTCAAGTAAATCAATCACAAAGGTAGTAAAAAAAAATCCTTGTAACTATGGCCATTTACATAAAATCCTAAACTTTCAAAATGTTTTAAAAAACACCATGTTATTTTAACCATTGACATAGGCATAGGAAGATTACTCATGCGGCAATCTATATGAATAATAATTTAATATTAGAGGGTTTGAGGAATACCGCACAACTTTAAAAAATTGAACTGAAAATCACTCCAAATCGAAAAATAATTTATTGACTATTTGATTTTTCCCAAGTTGAATTTAAAAAAAAAAAAAAAAAAAGAATGTATTGTTATAGAGATTTTATAAATATTCGTATTGAGGACCGAACCGAATTGCCTCATAAATATTTGTACTGTTAAATGTGTCTTATAATTAACTTTTTTAGCAATTTAGTCCTATATTATTGATTTTTTTTACAATGCTTATAACATATAATAAAACAAATTAAAAATTTACAAAAAAAAAATCAAAAAATTAATAGATAATAAAGGTTATTACAATAAGATATAGACAATAAGCCATGTAACTGGAAAATGTTATCACATTTACACTACATCCATCACTACAAGTCCATTAATTAATTTCAGTCTCTAAGAATAATATTTTTAAAAAAGTAATAGATAAAAAAGGTTACAATAAGATATAGAAAATAAGCCATGTAACTGGAAAATGTTATCACATTTACACTACATCCATCACTCCATCTTAAGATAAATAGATAATAAAGGTTACTCGTACAATGCCATATTGAGCCTCACATCTTATTAATAATAATTAACCACAATGCCATTATAAAAATAAGAGTAATTTCAAGCCCATATTGAGCCTATAATAAAAATAAGAGTAATTTCAAGCCCATATTGAGCCTCTTATGGCAAAACATAGTAGACAAGCTTGATATTTTAAGTATATCGGAGAAAAAAGAACGGATTGCCGATTCTTATTGGGAAATTTACATAGAGATGGTAGTTGAAAATCTTATTTGCATATAGACGAAATATATAAAGTATTATCATATGAGGCTTTTTAGGAGATAAGATTTACAATTATACGATCTCACTCATGTAGAATCCCTAAGATCTCGCCACTTTCTATTCCTCCTATAACAGATGCAATTAACACTTTTTAAAAACCATACCCGCAAGTTATCTTGGAAGGTATATTGTTAGTTTTGCATTTTTTCGTTTTCATACCAAAATCAGTCAACTATCTAGGATCAAAAATATTTTTTCCAAGATCATGCACGCTCGGCTTGTTGAAAAAAAAAACATCCAATAAAAAAAAACTTATGTATACGATATATTTAAAATGAACTTGAAGGTAAATTATATTCATTTTTTTTTTTTCTATGAGATGTATTCAAACAGTTTTGAATGTTTTTCCATGTAGGTAATATTTCTGTTTATATGTTTACGTGATTATATACGGAACATAAATATGAAATAAACAAAACAAAGCATCGAATATACGGAACATAAATATGAAATAAACAAAACAAAGCATCGATTCGCAATCTGTAACCAATCTCAATGAACATATTGGTATAGTCTTTTTTTATTGTATTTTTTATGGTGATCAAGTACGAGATTATGGGGTGTTTATACAGTATTTTTTTTTAATTTCGTAATCTGTTTATTTTTCAGGAACATGGCTGAAGACAATGTGTAACTTCGGAAATATATACTGTTATGTGTTTATACATTCAAAACTTCGGAAGATATACTGTATGTATACATCACATAAACATGATCTGACACAGTTCTCTAATATTAATCGTATAATTATACATAAGATAAACGACATATAAACAATACTAAAACGGGATAAAACATAATACACAATTCTGAATGACTGCAAAAATCCAAATTGAATGTAGTTATACGTACGATAAACAACACATGTATACTTTACATGACATTTACAAAGTTCAACCAACAACTTTGCGCACTCCAAAAAACAACACCATATAGATTGTGTATAATTAACGTATAATTTGTGTATATGTTTACTACACTCATTCGAATGGACGGATGGACGAACGACTCGACATTTAAAGTGCGGACATATGAATAGAAAGGGATATGTACCATTCTTTTCGCACAAATCTTTGAATACATTTTGTTTAGGATAATTACGCACTAGATCCTTCTATTAGTTCTCAAATATCATGTTCCTGTTAGTTCTCAAATATCAAGTTCTCAAATGGTCTAAAGATTTTTTTTTTCTTTCTCGATGATGAAACTAAGGGGAGAGAGAAGATATATTTTCTTCTTCTTTATCTGTTGTAAATGGTCAAATATGAGATTAGAACGGTTACGGAAAATCTTGTTCCAATTGAACTCATTAATTGTGTTTGAGAGGAGTTATATTCCATAATTGAAAAACGTCCAAAAACCGTCTATTACAAATGGCAGGTTTTATTTAACAAATCGTATTTATAAAGAAAAATTTCACAGTTCGTATTTTTACAAATATTGTTGAAAGAAATTGTAAGTAAAGTAAATTTCTCATTCTTATTCAATATTGAAGTAAGAATTATATTTGTGTACAGCATGCCAACCTTCTCTCAATATATATCTCTCTTATCTATACATGAAGAAGTGAAAGCCCTTATATGACGACAAGTGGCTTCTTCTCACTTTGACATATAGCATTTTATTTGTCAATTACTTGAATGCCCTTTTTTAGACACACACAAAAAAAAAACCTCTTAACACTACTTGTGAAGGGTAATAAGGTCACTTAGATGTCCCTTCTATTTTTATGTATTTTGACTTAAATGCCCCAACTGTATTCACCTTTTGGGAGATGTGGACGTAATTAACCGTATGTGCTTCTTTTCTTGCCGTCTTCGCGGGATTTCTCCTAGAATATCTGGTGAGATGTGCGTCATGTCTTCAATGCCTTCAAATGTACATAAATTACCCTGCTTTAATACATTTTTTGGTCTTTTTAGTGTCCTTAGTGGTTTGTTATGTTTGGTGCGCCCATGCTTGGTCCTTCAGGTCGGCTCTTCTTGAGTCTTCCCTGTCTATTTCGGTAATTCAATGTTAACTGAGATATGTTGTAGCCTTTTGGCTGCTCGTACTGTGTTTGTACATTTGAGTTCTTATCTAATATATTTGATGTTTGAAAAAAAAAAAAAAATACATTTTTTGGGGTTATTTCGGTCATGTCATAATTGAAGTATATGTAGCATGTTGTACCCTACTTTTATAGCTGTATGCTAGCCTTTTTCTTGTTCTGCGGAAATTCCGAAATCTCGCACACGCAAGGTCAGGTATGGAATAGAGAAGGGAGCAGGTAATACCTTTGCACTTCACCAACCCTATCCCTACCCAAACAATTACTCCTTTTCTTCTTCACTTCACTTCACAATATGAAGGTCAGCCCAAGGTTGGATCTTATCCTTAGCCGCCGTAGCACAGCTCCGTGCACCCGCCGTTCGATCTCATCCACGCCCCATCTCATCGTGTCAAAGATCAAAGGATTGCTCGCCGGAAAAAAGGACGATGCCTCCATCGAGATCTTCGATTTATTCACCCTTCTCCGTGAGTTAATTTTTCATCCCATCGCGACGTCGTTTTCAGCTATGTGATTATTTGGAAATTCATGAGTACAGGGTTTGCGGCGGAGATGAACAAAGCCAAGAAGCTGAAGTAGTTCGTGGTAGTACGCAGGAACATCGAAGCCACGTTCGCCGATGCCATCAAGAAGCAGGAAGCCATAATCCGATACCTCGAGGTGTTGATCCTACTGCAAGGTTTGTTTCTGATTGAATTTGTTATATGGTATTTCAGTTTTTTACTAATTGAGATTACGAGTTTGTTGTCTTTTTTCTGGTGGAATAACTATCTGAATCGAGTTTGTGAGTATATATATAACCGCAGGAACGAACGAACATCTCTGATCCAGACACGTATGCATCGACCTTAGAGGTATTCTATGGATATCTTCTGTTTCTGTAATGTAATTATTCAAAGCTTCTTCCCTTACTTTCAGCAGCAAAAAAAGAAAGAGGATGCTGACCTATCAGTGCAAGAGAGACAGTTATGCAATTTTCCCATTGCCTTTGGGTGCAGTGGCATTTTGTACTTCACCCCAACTGATCTCGAAAACAATTGCGGTAAAAATATATATGAATTAAGCCATACTATTTGGTTCAGCTCATTTTTCGAGTTTGTAATCTGATTTTAATTACTAAGTCGAGAAGAGCCAATTTAGCAACAGATGAAAATCGACTGCACATCGGCAGCCGACGACTGGTAAAACAACAAACTTTAACAAAATATACGCGTAAAGAGATCTAAACGCGAAATCCGTAAAAAATTCATGAAAAATATGAAGAACATACATGAACTCCGAAAGTTCCGGGAGTCCAGAAAAAATCAGAAAAAGGAAAAAATCAGCAGAGAATTGAGAATTGAGAGATAGTGAACTTACACATGGTTGTCGGATCGAATTGAAAGAAGTAAAGGTCGCCGGAAACGAATATCGCCGGTGAAGCCGAAACTCGCAGGTCGCCGGAAAGCTTGAAGGAAGTTGAGAAAGAGAGAGAGCAAGAAGTTTTAGGATGCGGAAAGTGGTTTATGGAGAAAGTGAAGTATATTTATATAAGGAAGTGGTGGTTGTGGAGCGTTGGATCATCAAGAGAACCAACGATCCTGATAAGGCACGAAATTCGAAGGGACAACGATGGAGATGACGCGCGTCACTTTAGGGTTTCGAAATTTGAAATTTGAAATGGGTCTGTCAGAGTGTCAGACTTATCCGAAAGAGCAATCATGAGATTGGGGCACGCCCTAATCGATTGACGAGACGAGTTGCAGAAGAGGCCAGTACGAGCAAGAATGGCAGGAAGGCGACACACCCAATTTACTCATAAGCAGTCGACTGCTTAGAGTGATTTTTGGGGGGGACTAGATGATATGGCCATACAAGGATAACCCGGTCCAGAAGCTCCCTACCCGACCGATGAACCACTCGAACAACTCGCATGTTGACATGACTCTGTCGACATTCTCATCGACTTCCCTAAAGACGATTCTACCGAGAGCAATCGAGAAGTGGCAGAAATTGGTCTAGTCGACTCTCCCAAGTCGACCTTAGTCTATCGACTTTTTACTAGTCGACATCAATGAAAGAAGGGCAACAAGAGTATAACGCCCGAGCATCCCGATATCCTAAGTTGATTCTCATCAGTCGACTGAACTAAGACGACTTCACCTCAAAGGATTAGCCCAAGCGTAGCCTCCGGATCCACATATATCCACGAGTCGACCTCCTAGCTCTCGAAGTCGACCTCGCATACCTCGAATAACAAAGATGTGATGACGACTCATCACACTTGCAACATACTTAAAGTTCTACACATTACAAAGGATAAGAAGGAATCTGGTGATGACTCAGCAACAAGGGGAGACGAATCGACCAGGGCATTTTGGACTTTCTAGGTCCACCGACTTGGGCATTTTGGGTACTTCAGGTAAATATTCACTCCTATATAAAGGAGGTGAGGTAACCCTAAACCCTAACTCTCATTCATTCCCACTCTCCCCCATAGCTGCTGCGCAGCATCTCTTCACCATTCTTATACTGACTTGAGCGTCGGAGGCTCTACGCCGGAAACACCTCCGGCGTTGAGTTTTTGCAGGAATCTCGCGGTCTAGTGACAGTTGGGAAGCGGTTCAAGCAGATCTGAGGTCACAACAACCGGTTTACTCCAGATCTGGAAGTAGACCCATCAAACACCTTATTTATTTAATGATTGGACCTACAAAAACTTTAAGTAAGTCAGTCTCCTTTTATTTGCCTTTATTTTCCATTTTAACTTACTATTATTGGCTCTCACATGAGATATAAAGTGAGTCGACTCTTCGTTCATCTAACTTATTCTCACCTCTTCCTGCACCAGCATAGCTTTAATTTCCTTACACTCCCATTTATCTTTAATGGTGTTATAATTCACCTAGGATTGGCCAAACTCAACAGATAGGGAGTTCATGATGAATAGAACCATAAATAAGTCTATCACATTCATTCTCATGTTTGTAAGTTTAGCTTTTATGTGGAACATGTTAGACACTATACCATGGATGGAACAGAATTAGTTGAACTTTTATAGTGGTAAGCACGTTCATGAAACTTCCCACAATAGACTTTTCCCGCAAATTTAAATGGAGATAATTCCTTGATTTTTTATTTAGGAATTCTTTTGCATTATCATCCTTAATGTTATCCGCCATGATTAACTTCATAAAATTCAAACACAACCTATTTGATCGCTCACATGCCCTACGAAGAGTTACCTCTACTTCGGAGCTCTCATCAGTAATGGTTGTTGGCACTTCATCAGTAATTAGAGTATATCCAAATTCAGTGCACCTAATTAAAAATGGATATGCTCATACCATTCATTGAAGTTCAGCCCATTGAATTTTTTCAATAATAATAATTGACATAAAAACCAAATTTAAACACTGCAAACTTTAATACATGCTATTTAATTAAGCTTTGAGAAACAATTAATGGATTCAGAAATCTTTTAAATTATATATTTAAATATACCTTTGGGCAAATACTTAAATATATAATATACTTGATTGATGCCTACGAGGAAAGATCTTTAATAGAAATTATAGGTATTGTGATTACTTAGTGGTTTGGACAAACACACTAATTAACGTAACTTTAATTATAACTTCTCTTTTATATATTAATCCTTGATAGAGATTATACAAACTTGAGTCAATTAGCGGCTATCTTTGGACAAACACGCTAATTAGCATCCCTTTAAGTATAACTTCTCTTTTAAATATTAATCCTTAATAGAAATTATATAATTTTGATCAATTAGATGTTATCTTTGGACAAACACGCTAATTGACCTAACTATAATTATAATTTCTCTTTTAATTGTCATAACTATAAACACATGGCCCACCTTTGGGTGTCCTCCTGGTTTATAATCCATGACATCAATTATTCAAATATATAATTTGAGAGACATTAATAAGGCATCCTGTTATATTTGAATAATTGATACTTTTATCTAATTTTAATTATCTATACCATAAATTAAACTAGGTCACTTTGGTGACTAACTAGTTTTTTTACATAGATAATATAATTAGAAAATATTTTATTATATTGATATTTCATCTAATTTAATTATCTATTCCATAAATTAAACTAGGTCACTTTGGTGACTAACTAGTTTCTTTACATAGATAATATAATTAGAAAATATTTTATTATTATTATTATTATTTTATTATGAGGTTAGTATATATAAACTATCATTAGCCTCAACAATTTAGAAGCAAAACAATCAGGCCTCAAACAATTGAACATGATGATCAATCTGTGGCAAAACAATTAAGCACCATATATCAGTTTCAAGAATCCATACTCAAAGCCACAGGGAAACATATGTAACATAAAAAGAATCCATAATTTGTTCTCAAATAATTCCCAACCATATGCTAATAAAATAATTATTTGCGCAAATTCAATAAAATTTAAAAAACCAACACATGAATTTCCCAAAAATCCAACATGTGCTGTAATTAATTTTATTGCTCAAATTCAATAATGAACATGTGCTGTAATCAATTACTTTAAACAATGTTATGGCTTATGAGCAACATCAATTTGCAAAGCAAATAATTCCAATCAAGCAAACAATTCCAATCAAGTCATGATCTCTTTAATTCATTCGAAATAATTCATTCAAATTAATGAACAGTGAAAAGAATCCCATTACCCAGTAAGCTTTTGATGGTTACGGCAATTAAGGAAGCGAATTTCAATTAAAAAAAATAATCTGTACCATGTACGCACAATCGACAGAAACACCACAATAATATGCACGCGTCTCTCGTCTTTCCATAAAGCCCTTGATGTTGAGAACTTTATTTCGTATGAGATGGGAGAGAGTAGCCCCATGTGTATATATTTATATATCTACATCCATCGACAACACTAATCAAAAAAGGAATATATTGTGATTTTAATTTCATTAGTACGAGATTTTGATTTAATCAAATCTGATATGTTTCTCTCTCTCCATTTACTTATCATGGCATGATTCTCCCGAAATCAACGCACAAAAGATAAACAAAGCGAACTGAGTTGCCCCATAATAGGAAAAGAAAAGACAATATGTCGTCATATGGCTGCCCAAACCGATCCAACAGGACTCAAAATTCAATGTAGTATATATAAGAGGAGTCCTACAAACCTATTCCTACTAACATTCTCAATGTTCTAACCTAACTTACTGTCCAAGTCAAACATGACTCTTTAATATTAGAACATTAATAATCTATAAAATACATATTCACCTTAAATAAGTTTGACTATTAATTCAATTAGGTCCAACTAATTATATGGTCCACAAATAGAATAATATATAAAATATTATTACATACATATGCCCAAATTAGGTGTTGTTTTTATAAACACTTCCTTTGGTTCTGTTATCCCATTCCAAAATCTCTAGTGACGTTGATAATTACTAGAAACAGGCTTTGAAGAAGCCCTAACAAGTCGTGAAATTAAATTTCATTTACTCTCATTTACTCCTAACTGTTTTATTAATGACGACTCCATGTAATAATAGCCCTTTTTTGCACTTATGCTGCATAGCCCTCCCGCCCAATCAGACCCCTAAATTACAAGCGTAACATTAAATTATGTATAAATAATTGGATAGCGAGGCTATCAAGTTAAAGCAAATTGTAAAATTATCTTACTCATTTTTTTTTTTTTTTTCAATTAATGTTGAATAAAACAATTATTTGTACTACAAAAAATACAAACTTATTAGTATTCAATCATGTGTATATGCACAAATATAAATACAATATTATAAGTTATATGTATGTATATAATATTGAAAATAAAAATTTTGTAAAGGTATTATATTTTAAAAATTTGAACATTAGTAAAAATAAACATTACAAAACGATTTAACTGCATATGAATCACTATATTGATTTGATAAGATGTAATGAATATTGTAATTTTTATCATATTGAGGAATCATGACTAACTAATTAGCTGAATAAGAATTAACTTGACTATTATAATAATTACTTATAAAGTTTTGAGGGGTTCGACTACACCGTTAAAACCTATTAGTTTCATAAAAAAATTATTTAACGAGATAAAAAAAAGATAATATTGATTTAAGAATAAAAAAATTTAAAAAGTAAATTTAAAATAATTTTTTTTATGTTTATGTAACTTTCATTTACCATTTAATGTAAAATATAATTATTTAGTTTTATAATAAATATTATATGATAGAATAGTCAAGAAAATATAATTATTACTAAATTAATAAATTGTATGTGCAAATTACAAGCTTTATGACTAGAGTCTCATGACATATATTTTGGGTTGAAAATTGACAAATGATCACGTTCATATATCATACGTATATTTATTTTTCCATCTAAATAGAAAACTGGATTTGTAAATATGACTTTGGGAAATAACTACTAAAAAATACTTATTTCAAGTAAAAATTCTTGTATGCACCTGACTAAAGCGGGATCAACCTATTATACCTTTTAAATAAAAATATACGTTTATGTTATGAAATACCATATTTTTGTGTTTTTTGTTTTTTAGGTATGAAATTAATAAGTGTATACATCTACTAGATAAATATGAAATTTAACCATTAGGTCTAACTGGTATCGACTGAAACAATATGAGATATTAATTAAACCAGCTGTAGGTTGATCGGTTTGAGATTCTTGAATATAAGTATGAAATGCCATGAGCCATCCCATTACATCCAAACACAACCACCAAAACGTTGTTATCCGATTTGTTAACTTTTTTTTTTTTTTTTAATCCATTGCCTACTTGAACAAAATTCTATCGTTAGGTTAATCAAGCTTGTCCATATATTTGTTAGTGTATGCTGACAGTTCAGACCTTTTCTATCTTGGTGTTAACTCCTAATCTTCATAAATTAATATTTCAAAGACAAAAGTCTAATTAGACTAATATTTTATCGAAAATAATTAAAAATACTAGTGTCCATACTTAATGCAATAAAAGAATCTTATTAACCTTTTATTGGTTTAGTGAGCTTCTCCTTTTATTCCTTTATTACCCCTTTAATTAATTTGTTTATATAAAAGCACAAAGATTATGCAGCATTAGACTAACCAAATATAATTGGGTTTAAAGCAACAACTAAACAAAAATAGGGTTGTTATTCGATCCGAGCAGAGTAACTTGTGCTACTTCAATAAATGAGTTGGCTAGACTTGAGCGTCGCTGTTTAAATTTGTGAAAGCTCAGCTCGACTATTCAAATTGTTTATTAAACCTATTTAATTGGATGCCCACCAATAATTCAACTCGATTACTTTATTTTAAATCCAATAAAATAAATAAATAAATATATGAGTTGTTCAGGACAACTCGAGCGATTCATTTAATAAACAATTTTATTTAATTATTTGAGTTCGAATTGAATAAATCAAACTCAAACTTTCACGAGTCGAATTGAAACAAGCTACTCATAACACCTTTATATCCAAATTATTATTCAATCAATTATTGTTGGAACATGTTTGTTTCCGTTTGGCATGTAATTGGGTGGCGGCCAGGTGGAGTCAACTTTACGCTATTTTCCTAACGGGTGGGCCCAACTAAACCGGTCGCAGACTCATGATGGGCTTTGTTTGCGGTTATAATTAGCTCGTAAGTGGGCTTTCAAGTTGCCGTGTAGAGGAGCACTTTGGATACAAGTTGTAGATGAGCTCGTGATTCACCATCAAGCGAATTGTGATAACTACCTTGTTACGAGAATTTTCGTCGTTATTAGAATGTAATTACAAACACGTCATCATCAGTTACTTTGATTTAAATTGGTTCGTTAATTTTTTATTTGTTTGTTAGGCTTTTGAATTTGACGGAACAAGTTGGATACGAGTGGTTAACCAACATATAACTATCAATCATGTGGCAATTATAGGAGAAATTTTATCGTTATCGAAATGTGAATTATTTAAATCACCACAATTAATTGTTGGGTGAAGCGGCCTAACTATTAGATGGATCAATTCCTCATACTTTTTTTTAAATAAAAAATGTATACATGTGTTATCAACTATCATACTTTCATTTACATTGTTTTCTTAATTATGTCATTTCAATTTAAAAGTGTGCACATCTTCTTAGAAATTATTATTATCTAATAAGCTCAGTAATTCGTGGCTGAGGCCATGAATCGAGCTCAGGCACCTATTGAGCTTAAACCCAATTGCGCCATAGCCACAACCTCGATCTTTTTTTAGAGTATGTCATTTCTCTATGTTTTTTTTTTTTTTTTTTTATTTTTTTTTTTTTTTTTTTTTTTTTTTAAATTCTTGCAATTTATTGTTCAAAAAATTAACCAACCACTTTAAATTACTTTTGATGGAAAAGAATATCAAATAGCAAGAGCGAATCCTTCCTTTATGACCCGATGAGGGAACTTTTGGAAGCCCACATGAATATTTTCTACATCTATTTATCATTTGTTCTGGTGTGATTTTCATCGAAGTCGAGAGAGATATCTTTCAACGTCAACAAGGGTTCCATTGTTTCTCCCACACTTTAATACGCAGTGTAGGTGAACCTGGCTTGCTCCAATAAAAAGTCAATATTCCAAACGAATGTTCGGGCTATGGCACATCATGTGAATTCCTTTGTAGTATATCATATTATCATGCATTTTCGTTGCTATCCCGAGGCTACAATTAATAAACTATAAACAAAATATCAAAGCTGCTTCTCCTTCATGTGATATGGCTAAAGAACAACGTTAACACTTTTTTTATTTAACCCCTAAAATAATCAAAGTATCTTCACATAATTAAAAGAAAAGGGAAAAAGTCTGGACATAAGTCGCAATCTTTAAATAAATAAATAAATAAAAAAAAAGCACAATGAATGAGACCACAATAAATGAACGTCTACACGATAAATGAAACCACAATGCATGAAGAGTTACAACAATTTGAACAAGGAAACTACAATCTAAGCACAAAATGATTCAAAGATTGGGTTCAACTATCAGTTTCATTATACCTTATTGTAACTTTAACAAGAGCCCAACTGGTTGGATTTCGAACAATGAGTACACATGATGTTTCTTTTCAATGTTTTTGCTCCTCAAGACACTAAGGTTTGCTTCCAAGTTCAGTCACAAAACCGATTCAAATGCGTCTCGATTATGAGAAGTACAAGAACGCATGATAATTTAGCCAAGGTCCACGCCAAAGTACCGAGAAAAAGCCAAATGCACCAATGCTTTCTACCGCTGCTTATCAATGTCGTAATGAATGCATGCATCAGCGGCTGTCTTAATCTGCCCCATGAAACAATCGAGCAAGTTGAATTAGGATTCAACATTATGAAATAATTAAATGCATAAGAGAATCTGGAAAAGAAGGCCATTCACCATTTTGTGCAAAAAAAAAGCGAAAGAGAAAAAGCCCAAGCATTTTTTTTCTAAACTAGGTCTTCGTGAGGATGCCGAACATAAATGTAAATTTCTCAAGATCAATGTAACACTTGATAAGTTGCTTAAACATGTAATTCAGAATGTTAAACATATGTCATATGTACATTATTTCTGAATTTGTGTAAACAAAATGAACAACTATCAAAAAACCAGATCCTAACAGCATAGGAAATGTTTCATCAACGTATTTGGTGATAAGATTTATCAGGTGCTTGTGTGGTGGCATAAGATGAGAAACCATCACCTTCTACGCTACATGTCTCATATTTATCGGCTCTACAAATAATATTCAACAAATACAACTACAAGATGTTCCAGGTTGTAATAAACCAAAGAAATGGAAACATAATAAAAAATTATTAATTTAATGTTGCTAACTGAGTTACTAACTGACATACCTGTATAACGTTGACTAGTTGCTTGATTGCCCATCCAATAAGAGTCAATGAAAGCAAAGGAAAATAGAGCCAGCTTTGCATAGCCGCATTTACTAAAACCTGAGAATAACAGGTGAAAATAAGTGGGCCATAAATGAATCGCTTTGCCATATTAATAACACATCGTTATAATGAGGCTTGGGCTTACTTCACTGATATTCTCAGGCTGATTCTTTCCCAAAAGAAACAAAACAATGTAAAGAACCTGCTGACGAAATCAACCAATAAAGAAAAGTCCAAAATGAGGGAGGAAAAAGAAATTCTAGTGCAAAAAATATTTACCTCACAAGACACACAGCAGTAACCCATGAACTTCCGATTTCCATAATAAAGCCTGAACAGCCAGCTGGTGCTATCTTTGACATCCTTATGACTACTTTTCCCCACCAAGAAGGAACTGAAAAATAAATAGACACAAGCAAAGAAAATTTGAAGTGCTTATGAATAAGAAGGCATCCACACAAGTAATGCGTTGTGAAGACAAGATACAGAATACATAAACTTTGGAGCAAGGTAATTACCTATACATTTGCAACCAATGGCTGGCAATATCTAGAGCAAGTAATGATAAGAAAATAAATCCAGGTCTGTAAGTAGTAGAAAATTAGTGTTAGAACTACTATTCATTGGGAAGGTACAATTAACGATTTAAAAAAAAAACAGAGAAAGCGGAATTACCTATAAACTTGGGATAGAATAACCAAGAGACAGGCAGTACTTATTCTGGACGTCAAGAGAACGGCATGAGAGATGAGCATAAAAACATAAAGATTTAACAAGTACGTATTCTGGACGTCAAGAGAACAGCATGAGAGATGACCATAAAAACATAAAGATTTAACAAGTACAAGTGTGCAATAGGCATAGAATCAATTGACTTGATACCTATCAGTAACCATGTCAAGAACAGCTCCAAAAGTTGAAACTGAAATAGAAAATGTGTGGAAAGTTATTACGGTTAACAACAAAGGTGGACTAATCTGATTCCATTCCACCAGAAATCAACATTTTGAATAATAACCTTAACAGGAGCTTCATGAAATGTCAAATTAAAGTTCCATTTTATATTGACCTTTTTTTTTATCAGTTAACCAAAAAATTAATCAATACTCCTAATTCATATTCATATCGGATAATTATCATCCAAATTGAACAGCAAACCATAAACCTTAACCTTGATTCAATTTGCGTGCAAACCAACCATCCAATGCATCAAATACAAAACTGAAGAATAAAAACCCAAGTTAGATGACACCCTCACCCGGTCCAAGGAAAGAAAAAGAGAAAAAAAGAAAATTATAGAAATCTCACCTGATGAAATACAGAATAGAAAAAAGACGCTTGTTCTCAAAGCATATTGCGAAAGCAAAGCAATTCATTATAATTCTCGCATATCCTAGCAAACACAGAAAATCACAGGATCCTTTACAAATATAAGTGCTAATAAATCACAAATAAATGGAGTAATAAGTATAAAGTAGCTGATTAATTGAGACTAACCAATAACATTGGGAACATAGAGGTCAATGTGCTAGGTCTTGATTTATCTGCCATCGGAGAAGAGCTTTGGGTATTTTTTGCTGTGAATTCTTCAAACAGCTATGGAGAACACATTGGAACACTTTAACTTTTTTCTTCAATTTTGGATTTTGATGAATTTAGCCTTTTCTTGCTCGCTATACCAGGCTGAGCCAAATATGACAACATATCCTTGGGGTTAGTCAGTCCTCAAAACTATGAATGGAAGCTAGCAACCCGGAACGTATTTCAATGTTCCTGAGACATAGCATGGAAAAGTCACAATACTAAGAAAGGAGAAGAATAAGTTAACATTCCTCGACGTTGACCCAGAAATTAGGCAGATCTGAATTACATAGCAATGTTAGGGGTGTTCGAATAATACATAAAAGAAAGGGATAATCCTTCCTTTATCATTAGCTGAGTCGGCTCACACAGTGTGTCATAGAAAAAGGACAAGTTAACTTACACATTTTGGAATAAACTTTCAAAGCTCACGTAAAGCACCTAATTTGCTTGTAACTCCTCTGCTGCTTATTAGCACAAACCCATTTGGTAAAAGCTATACAAGTGTGTACAGTTACTAGGCCCACTATACAGGAATTCATTCAAGCAAGAACCTTCTTTAATGCTTCTGGCTCAAATAAAATGAGAGCCCATAATGTTTATCTGTTTTCTTTTGGTAAAAAAATCGAAATGTTTGCCATGATTATGTTTTTCAAATATATATCGACATATCGTGAACCACTGCTAAGGAACATGATGCACAGATCCATTCAGAATTATTCTTCAAATGAGAATTGTTCAACTCAAATACACAGTCAATAAGCAAGAGCACGGAATATCTTTTAGAAGACAAACACTGTGAAAAGGAGAAAGGACGAGAATACAACTCATTCTCAAAGCAAGCGTGAAGCTAAGAACATTGGGAAAGTGAAATTTGGCACTCAGTCGAAATAGAGCATGATTCAGCCATGGGTAAATGACAAAAGAAATAATTAATACTCTCAAAGTGTCATATATAATCACCAACTAAAAGTACAGCAAGCTCTTACTTTCAAAGTCAATATCACTTGTGCAATCCATAGGGATGCTCTGGCCCATCAGCGTTTACAAAGATTCAGCATTGCATACAGATATTGAAACATAATCCATTTTTCAAACAAATGAATCGGTTCAGCTGCAAGGGAAACCTCCCAGGGATCCAAGAAGGAATTACTGATAGGTAGGTTCACAAAGGAGAGAGATACTTACGCTTGGAGTTTCAACTTAACAGTGAAATAAAACTTGGGAGCTCGACTAAGTAGGCTTTTAAATAATATTGCTAAAAAAATGATAAATAGGATTGTAGCAAGGTATAATAAATATAACAAAAAAAGTATATATACTATAAATACGGGATGAACACTCGGCCGATGAAGTAAATAAAATTCATTAATAAGTTAACCAAATATACCTTAGGGTGTTTAAATGTGCTGGAGCCTGGAAGCATAACTGAAAACAACGAATTAAACTGAAAATTGGTCGGGAAAGCATTGGAAATGTAAAATAGAATGAAGTGAGCCGAGTCTGTTCTCTCTTTCCCATAATACATACGAAAGTTCTTAGGGTTTGCATGCTCGTCTTACGGTGATACTTCAACGAACAAGTTTATAATAAACTTTCTTTGGAAAAGGAACACATTGACAGACCACAATAAACTAACAGTAAGAAGTTGAACAGTATATGATGGGATCAAGAGGTTTCTAATACAGCAAAATTCAAAGGATCTGAATCTATGCAAATATCTCAAGAAACACTGGGAGGTAGGATACACGAGTTATCAAAAGATATGCATCGAGTAAAACAAAAACTTTCAAAACTAGAAATGAGGGTTAAAATGAACAAGAATATTATTCAAGATCCACACTAAGTGACTCAAGACTTAGTAAAGCGGCCATACAGGATTGTCGAGTTGGAATACAGCAAATCCTTCAAAAAAAAAATCAACACTCAATTCAAACACATACTAACAACTAAATCAACGCAAATCCTTCCAAAAAAAAAAAAAATCTAACGCAACAGGCCTTTGAGATTTTCTCGGGTCCAGCCTTCAAGGACTCCAATGTATGGACATCTCAACTCGGCCTGCTCAACAAACGGATATTGTGTTGGATTCGGGCATGCCTCAACACCTGGTCAATCAGAGGAGTCGCCTATGCTCTATTGACAATGGACAACCGTACTTGCGCTGGGAACGGAAGATGACCGAGGATGAGCCGCATGAGGTCAGCCCGAAGATACACCTCCTCCCTTGCAATGCCGGGATTCGGATATGCCGGATCTTGGAGGGGAATTGGATTTTCTCTTGGACTGAGGGTGATTGCGTTTTCCGGTGAGCCGGTGAGCCGGTGAGCCGGTGAGGGGAGGATTGTAGAGCCGCCGTGGGATTGGCCAGGGTTTGGCGGAATTCCAACACAAACACAATATTCCAAACCTGGCGAATTCCACTGCTGCTCTACAATCCTCCCCCACCGGAAAACGCAGCCCAAGAGAAAATCCAATACCCTTCAAGATCCGGCATATCCGAATCCCGGCATTGCAAGGGAGGAGGTGTATCTTGGGGCTGACTCATGCGGCTCATCCTCGGTCATCTTCCGTTCCCGGCGCAAGTACGGTGTGGCGACTCCTCTGATTGACCAGGTGTTAGAGGCATGCCCGAGGGTCTTGGAGACGGTGGAGCAGGCCGAGTTGAGATGTCCATTGGAGTCTTGTGACTCACTTCCAAATTGAATCTCTTGCGTCCAAATTGAATCTCAAAGGCCTGTTGCGTTAGATATTTTTTATTTCGGAAGGATTTGCAATTCTTAGAAGCCCAACAAAGTGAGACTTAGTAGCATAAAGAAAGATAGATGGATCTTGAGGGGAATCCGTTCCGGCGGGTAGTTATGAAGGGCTAGACGGGTGATTGCCTTTTCCAGTGAGGGGATTGTAGAGCAGCCTTGACGGGATTCAGGCGAAGGCGAATGAGGGGTTAGGGTTTCGAATTCCGGAGAAGAAGGGGCGGATTCCGGCGAGTCAGAGAGGAGGGCTTCAGGGGAGGAGCAAGAATGTCAAGGATTCAGGCGAAGGCGAATGAGGGGTTAGGGTTTCGGATTCCGGAGAAGAAGGGGCGGATTCCGGCTAGTCAGAGAGGAGGGCTTCAGGGGAGGAGCAAGAATACGACGATGAGAGTGACAAGAGAAACGCGACCAGGAACAGTATACCCATCGCATTAATTTTGCAAGATTTTGACCTGATTTGGTTTAGAGAACCAAATATATAATGACTAATGTGTAACCCCATGCGATGCACGGAAACAATATTAAATTAACAATATTATAAATAGAATTCAAGTTTGAGTCACTCAATGGCAGAAGTGAAAACTACTATTGATCTTATTTAAAAAGAGGAAGAAAAAAAATAATTATAAATTAAAGAGGAGGATAAACAATACTTAATAATTATAAATTAAAAATTCGGAGTCAAACAATGTAAAATTATTTTGTATAAGAGAATATAAAAAAATTTGATTATACCATTTCAAAATTATTATTATACTTTTTTGTATGGTTAGCATATAATATTTGTAAAAATATTAGTAATTAAACAAATGAAAATTAGCTTCTTAAAGTAGATAATTTGTAGTAGTAATTATGAATTTTATTTTATTTTTTCTTTTTAAAGATAATAGATTTTTAGTAGTGATTATGAATTGGTTTTTATTTTATTTGATTTTTCAAATGATTTGGTTTCTATTTTATTTTATTTTTTCAAATTTGTATAGATAAGGAACGAAATTTTAAAATACGTATGCAATGGGATTTTGTAACAGAAGATAAGCTCGTGTAAAAATAGGAAAAGGAAAAACAAATATTTATTATCAAACAACAGTTTTGATAAACTAAAAAAAGGAAAAAGAGAAACAAATCTTTACACAATAAATGAGCCGATTTTTTTGTCTATTCAGATTTGTCCAACAATTACTATATGTAGGATATATTTAATGATTTTGACGGGAAAAAGTTTTTAAATTTGTTAAAAGGTTATTCTTTTTATATAATGATAGATTAGAGCCTAGACGATAGTCCTATTGAAAACTGAAAAGATAAATACAACAGGCAAGAATTTAATAATGAAAATATGTAGAAAATGGTACATTACCAACCTATTATTTTTAATAATAGGTTTTATTGTATCAATAGAAAATATGTATGTTTAAAGAATGAAATAGAAAATATGTTTAGTAATTAATAGTATTAAAACTTATGCATTTCCACATATATAAATGAGGTATTATAAGTTACTTATATGCATATAATAGTAAATTTATACGTTAGATAATGATATTAAATTTTAAACCTAGAGTATTATAAGTTATACCTTCGCATATAATATTAAAATTATAATTTAGATAATGGTATTATATTTTAAAATTTAACCATTTGTTAAAATAAATAGTACGTAAGTATTTGATTGTATATAAATCACTATATTGATTGCATAACATGTGATAAATAATGCAATATTTATATTTTTGAGAAATCATGACCAATTAATTTGCTGAAAAATATTAAATTTATTATAACAATTGCTTATGCGATTTTAAGGGATTTTACTATGACATTAAGCAAATTAATTTATTTAAAAAAAAAAACATTCGCTTAATCACATAAAATCGGGACCTGAACTGGACTCCTAAGTGCCGATTCGTTAAACCGGGACCTTAGGGTAGCGGTACGTAATTTATTTTTTTGGTACTGTCGGTCCGGGCCGGTCGCGGGTTGGAAGAAGGGCCGCAGTTTTGTTACTATTTTTTGTTTTTAATGGGCCGTACCGGCCCGGAACCGCCCGAAACCCGCTGGGTCGGTGAATCGACGGTTCAGGGCTGGTTTTATGAACCGGCCCATATAAATGGGCCGGGCAGTCATGAGCTGCGACCCGCCCCGGCAATTGCCCACAACTACCTGCGTGACATCCATCCTGTTGGGATCTGCGAGGATCTCGTTATGTACAAGTAACGAATTCAATAGCAAACGTAAACCTATACGCAATGGATCTAAAGGTTTAACGTAGAGAACTTACGGCTTAAAATTTCTGTAGATCTGGATGACCACGAACGGTTGACCGCAAATTACGTCTTGGATTGACCCGGGAAATGAATCCTTTGATTCGGTACTCGGTAAAAGTAACACTTTGTACACAACAGTTGTAGTCACCCATATGAGTGCTAAGCGCAATCCTCCAGAAAATAAACTTAAAACCTTCACCCTTGAAGCTTTTCTTCCAGTTCATATACACATGCCGAGCACAATTCCTATGCTCAGCATGAGGTACCAAATCACTCAATGCATTTAGAAGACCATGTAACAATGACAACTAATTAAGTTTAAATTTAATTTACATATAGAAAAAAGAAGTAAACATTATAGAAAGAGAATAACTTACTTTCTGCTGGTCTGATATAAATGTGTATCCCAAACCATCTCTTATCCCCAACTCTGAAAACAAAATCATCAGGAACCATCTCCAACATTCCTCATTTTCAATTTCTACAACTGCCCAAGCCACATGATAAATTTGATTATTGCCATCCTTTGCTGTGGCACATAGTAATGCTCCTCCAATGAATGTTTTTAAGAAGCAGCCATCAAGACCCAAAATTGGCCTACACCCAGTCAAAAAACATTTTTTCAGTGCACTAAATCCTACATAGAAGGCCCTAAATGTAGAATGATCACCCAAAAGAAACTCAAACTTTTCTTCTCTGTCAACCCTTTGCTGTCCACTTTGCTCTGTAAAGCTTCCATTAGCTAGGTTCAATGGCATATTTGTTAAAAATTACATCTACTAGTTGAGCAATTGTCATGTTAGGATTTTTTCTAAACTTTTCCAAAAACTCTTCAGCAATCCAGCCAGCTGTTACTTGCCTTGTGTGGACATTTCTGTGGCATTTGTGTTCCTTGTGGAGTTGCTTTACAGCAACGGTACCATCTCTTGTAACTTCACTTGCATATAATCTCCAAGGACACCCATCTTCACATCTTACCTCTAACTACCTTTTATTAGTTCTCATATTTTGGATATTTCTACCTTGAACTATGGCCACCTTTCTCACAGCTCTCTTGCATTGGTCAATACTCTCAAATCTCATACCAAGCTTAATCTGAAGAGCATTATGATCACACCTAGGATCATAAATTACCCCCAGCTTCCTTTTAATGCAATTTCCCTCATCATCCATCTCCATTTCACTACCTAACTCCTCAGATATGAGAGCATGCTGTAGCACTTCACACCCATCCAAGTCCATTTGAGGCAGACAATCTGGGAATGTATTGTTTGCTCCACCATCTTCTTCAACCATCTTGTTATTACATTTCCTCAAATTTTGTCTGGCTTTAAGGTATTCATCATCATCAGAAGCATGTTTCTCATCAGTCAGATCATCATCTGATGAGCTAACACCCACTAGGAAATACTCTTCATCATCACTATCCTCATCAAAGCACATAGCCACATCTGCTAGCACTCCACCTGCTTTATCTCCAGTTGCATTATCTGGGTGTTCATCTCCACTGATGACCTCCAACTGCTTTATCTCCATCATTTGCATCATCATCATCAATATTTGCATCAGAATCTGGGTGTTCATCTCCAGTTGCATTATCTCCAACATTCACATCACCATCACCATCTGCCAATCTATTTGCAGAGTTACTCCCTTCAGATGCATTATGAACAACATTAACACCATCACCATCATCCTTATTAGGGTTACTAGCAGCAACATAAACCTGTATTATAGATCTAAGCTTATGGCCAGTGTTGATCATCTCCATAACACAACTGTCATCCACTATCTCTTTCATACTAGCATATCCCAACTTCTCTGGATCTTGATACATTATCTATCTATAATCTATATCTATAACTATCTTAAAAGGATGAGTAGTTTCTTGAAAATTTTGAATTGCCCATATTACCCTCATAAGATGTTACTTTAAAGGACATAAATGTAATTTATAATTTTAAATTAGAGTTGATAATGATAGTTTGTAACTCATCCAACCAAATTTAAATAGAAACTTGAATTGCCAATAATATCCTTAAGAAAAAAAATGTAACTTTTGTTTGAAGGATATAAATGTAATATTATAATTTTTATTAAATAACATTACAACCACACACCTATCTTCTTTATTATAAATAAGTTGTATCCAACTCTTTCATTTTCTCTTCATCATATACAATTATTTTTCATTTATATAAATTTATATTAATTCCATCCCATTATTCTTCATCATCTACAAATATTAATTTATTCATCATCTGTAATATTAATATTTTTTTTATCGTGGTTGTATTTTCATTATAAGAAAAAGAAACATAACTTTTGTTTGAAGGATATAAATGTAATATTATAATTTTTATTTAAATAACATTACAACCACACACCTATCTTCTTTATTATAAATAAGTTGTCTCCAACTCTTTTATTTTCTCTTCGTCATATACAATTATTTTTCATTTATATAATTTATATTAATCCCATCCCATTATTCTTCATCATCTACAAATATTAATTTATTTATGACAAGAGCATGCATAGTCGCATTTTGGAGCATCATCTTCTAAATTGTTGGTCCTTTTCAATCACAAATTGTTGCATATTAAGGTATACTACTAATTTATATGTCATCTAAATGTTTTTCAAATGAAATATTTATTCAATATAACAGTAAGATTCATTTAAATTTTATCATACTGCTGCATTTCATTATTATTATTATTATTATTATTATTATTATTATTATTATTATTATTATTATTATTTTAGTATTGTGATATTATAATTACTTTATGTTTTATCATACTTTCATTTTCATTATGTATAGTGGGCATGCCTTGTGAATTAGAGAAAAATAGAAAAGGTAGTATTACGTTTCCCAGTTTTGCTATGGAGCCATCCACACTTTTTCACCAATAGTGTTTTGACACGTGTCCTACAATAAATACAATTTGGACATGTGTCAAAACATTAGGTGGTGGATGGCTCCTTTAGAAAACAATCCGATGACTCCATAGAATTTTTGGTAAGTTTCCTCATTTCAAGGTCCACTGAAATATCCAAAATCTTTGATTAGACTTTATTTATAAAAGACAATGAAGAAAAAATATTAAATATCATGTCTAAAAAGTACGTATATTACATTTTATAGCTAATAAGGAAAAAATTACAAATATACTAGACGACTACCTATAGTTTTCGCGTCTCTCTAAAATTGCACTCATGGTAAAAACAGTTAATATGACTTAATCAGTTAATGTATTTTGAAAAAAAAAAGGAATAACATTTTACTAAAATAATAATGTTGATTGATATCCAATTTTTATTTTATTATGTTATTTTGTATACCTTTTTGTGTATTTTATTTGAACTGTAAGAGATATATATAGTATTTTATAATTAATAAATTTATAAATTAAAATTTCATTAAAATAAGTTAAGATTGATATCTATTATCTTTTTTTTATTTTTACTAAATTTTTGTGTATTTTATTTGGACAGAAAATGAGAATCATTATACATACTTATTCATATTAGTTTATTATAATGTAGTTGTCCTATAAGCAACCAAAATAGAGTCAACAAAATAAATCTTAACTTATATATCTACTTTTAATTTATTTAATCTAAAACTCCAATTACCCTTAAGAAAAAGAAACATAACTTTTAGATATTTATTTCTTTTGGATACTTTAGTATTGTGACATTATAATTAATATTTTTTTTATCGTGGTTGTATTTTCATTATTTATAGTTGATATTTTTCTTGTGAATAGAAAAAATTAAAAAAAAAAAAGTAGTATGATGCTTCCACAATTTAGAAAAGTTTGTAATACATATAAGGAATAATAAGTATTAAGCCAAATAATACATATTTCTTTTAATTTTCAATACATGTTATTTACAAATTACCTTCATCAATGTTTATTTCATCACTATGTCTTTAAATGTTTACTCATATCTATTATAAAGATAAATTACATGTAATGATGAGTTTATAATTTTAAATTTTAAAAAATGAAACTATAATTTAGGACCTTATTTTCAACATTCATAATGTATTAGTCTTTTAATTAAATGTGAGCAAATGAGTTACAAATTATTATTATCAACTCTAATCTAAGATATATTTTGAATATTAATTACAGTTGAATGGTCGTGAATGTTCACCGTCATTTTCAAAATATAGTAAAAATCCACTGAAGTATATATCATGATAACAAGTTAATATGATAATAATCATTTTTTATAAGTAAAAAATACAATTTTTATGTAATAAATAATCTGCTCTCTTTTTTAGTTTAATCGAAATTAATCAAAATAAATTCAGTCATTTTCACTGCGGGATTTTAAATCACTAGAATAATTGAAATGGATTGAAGTTCAATTTTGAAACAACTATCTTATAAGGGAGAATTATTTCTTGAAAAGCTTGTATTGTCGAAAATTCCATACGCTATAATTAATTTTTAAGGTTACTAATGTGATTTTGTCACAACTGTGAGGGAGTTACAAATATTAATAGTTACAATCACTTTTTCAATCTATTTGTTTTCCATTCTACTTTTTTATTTTTTTATTTTTTTGTCATCGATGATCTTATTAATCTCTTATTATATTTATTACCTATTTAATAATTTAATTTTCTCTTAGTTGATATAAAGACGTTAAGATTATCTAAACAATTATATAAATTAAAAATAAAATTTAAGAAAAATGTAGTTTTTAAATGTAAGAGAGAGTATTGTTTTAAGGTTTTGTAATTAAAATATATTTATTTCATTAGCGAAAAATATATAATGCACCAATGAATTTATCATCTCTAACTTCCAAATGTCCTATTTTACTATAGATATTTTTGTTATAGCATTAAAAAATTTAAAGAGAAACAATTTAGTGAACATGTATATGTTTAAGAATGATTGAATAAAAAATAGTTATTCAACATACAAAATATCAATTTTTTTGTGGAAAAAATTTATTAGTTAAGTGAATTAATATGTAGTCTTAATAGGATTATTTTGTTTAGTTGTTCACTAAAACAATATGCATGATACAATTTAGGTTTACCAGGTAATAGTATGTATAGTGTGAATGTTCTTGTATGATAATGTGTGTTACATAAATTACTCTATCATATACATTAGTTGTAATATACATCAAAATTGATTAATTATAAAAATAAAATAAAATATTTAACACTCAATTTTGAATCTTGAATTTCAAAATATGTGTACTTCTTAAATATATGTTTACAATTAAAATCAATTAAATAAAAACTAATATTCCATTTACTTAAAATTTATTTTCATTAGCCAATCTTATTTATAAATCACAGATAAATTATAATTTTCAAATCAATTCTCAAAGTACGAAACATAAACTTTATAAAAATATATAAAAATTATATTAAGATAAAAATAAAATATAAAAGAATCATTATTTTATACTTTATCTAAAATAGAGTTATTTATTTTTCACTGTTAAAGATAGTCTTGAAAATCCATGAATGAAAATGATAATGCACGCATGACAATTTTAGACAATATACATAGATACCTTCAATCAATTAATGTAACAGCAATATATATAGATAGATGGTCACCTTTAATTAATCAAGGATGTTATTGTTCCTGATAATTTTCAAGTAAATTTTTTTTATATAAAATAATTACGACTTTAAAGATATTTTTATATCTTTATATCTCTTATTTCATTATATACAGAGAGAAAATATATATCTAAATATTATGAAATATTACACGTGCATATAATTGAATTTTCAACAGTTATGATCAAAACAATAGATAACGAAATATTCAACCATAGTTTTAGCTTCCAATCAATAATTAAAAAAATGATAATCACAAATTATAGTTATAGTATATCCGAGGTATTTTTCAAAGAGTATGACGTAAAAGGAAGACATTAAAAAACTATTATTTTGACAGTACTAATGATTATTATTTTAAGCATACTGATGATATCATTAAATAACAAAATTTCAAAGAGTATGACGTAAAAGGAAGACATTAAAAAACTATTATTTTGACAGTAATAAGGGTTATTATTTTAAGCATAATGATGATATCATTAAATAACAAAATCAAGGACGACATAAATTTCTTAAGCATTTAAATTTTCACAAAAACTATTAATTTTATTTTAGATTTTCTAACCAATATTTTTTTATTTAATTTTATTTGTCATAGAGTTCAGTTAATAGTATTATATAATATATTTTATAATAAAATACACAGTTTTTTTGTTAAACAATGGAAAGAAAATTATATAATACTATTAAATTAAATCTAATAATAGAATAATTTTAATAAAAAAATAAAAATATCACGTGCATAGCACGTGCATCTTCCTAGTTTTATCGAACTCCTTAACCCCTAGCTTCTCTACTACTTCTACTAAATCAAAGTATCCAAACCTATCAGAGCCATACACAGACTTGAAATTCCCACCAAAGTATTCAGTTGAATCTCCAATCTTGATAAATGTACCACCAGAGTTGAAGAAAAGAGAAAATTTTTCAATGCAATCAAACATAGGGATATAATCGATCCCATATTCATAGACATAACTCATAAATAAATTCAATTTTTAAAAAAAAATTCAAATAACTAAAAAATCCCTAAAATGCAAAAAACCCTAATTTTGTGATAACCCTAGTTACAATACAATCTTAATTTCATATTAACCCTAATATTAATAAAAAAATCATGAATTCACATGGAAATCAGATTTCACACAAAACCCTAATATAAAATATATGAAGATTCGAAAGAAACCCTAATTTATCATGACGTCAAACATAAAAATATTATTCTGCCATTGTTTGTTGTCGGACAACAAGGGCAAACATGAACACATAGGGCCGACAATAAAATCAAAAAATTGCAGCACGAAATTTGGGGCCGACATATGAGATTAAAGAATACGAAATTTGGATTTACCTGTTTTTTCCCATTGCCGATGCACGAAAATCGCGAACAACTGGCGGCAATTCCTTCTTCATGAATCGCGGCAATTACCAAAACATCTGGAAAAAAATTGAAACGGTCTTTGTATCGTAATGAATCGTGAAAATTTGAAACGATGTTCTGCCCTAATTTTGTGATTCTCAAATACAATAAATCGATATTGTCTTTGTAAGGATAAAAGTTACAATTTTACCCTTCCCGGCTGAGTGTGTGTGACACTGTGGAATCCACGTCAGCGAAGCCTGTGGACATGTGAGACAGCCTGCAGGACACGTAGGCACGGAACTCGCTGCCGATCAACTTTGGGTTCGGGTTGCAAAATTTAAAAAAGGTTGCGATTTGTTTGCAATTACCTTAAGATTGAGTTTAAAATACAAAACACTTAAAGTTTGTGGTTTTATTTGCAATTAAGTCAAAAAATAATTAGTAACGCATTTTAAAAAGTATATTAATATTAATTACTTTTTATAATATCGAATAGATGATAGTGTGAAGTGACGAGACTCGCACCTCAACAGTAAGCACTCACTTTGATAAGTAGAGAACCACAGCAAAGAAGGCAAAAAGAAACAGAAAATGTTTCTCACTCAAAAACTCCCTAGAATCCATTCACGTTTCTCCATATCCACGCTCTCACCTCCTAAACCCCAAAAGCTCTTCTGCATCACATCAACTCTCTTATCCAAAACCAAACCCGGACCCGACCCCACACCCCTATCCCACTTCTCCACGGCCGCCGTCGCCGCCGCACCGCCGCCGCAGAAACAGGGAATCCTGCAATTGTCCCTAGAGAATCTCTTCTTCCCGCCGGACACAGACGCCTCGTCTCTCCGGGACACGCCCCTGAGCGCGAGGGTCCTCAAGGGCTCCAACATCGTGCTGAGCAAGTACGCCGGCGATGGCGCGGAGGTCGACAGCGCCGATTTCGTCAAGAGCAGCGTAAGGACCGAGGACTGCCCAGCCGACGGGTCGCCGGAGTTCGCGCTCGTTGGGCGGTCCAACGTCGGGAAGTCGTCGCTGCTCAATTCGCTCGTTAGGCGCAAGAAGCTCGCGCTCACCTCTAAGAAGCCAGGTGTCGAACAGATTGCGTGCGTGTGTTTTGTATGCCTTTTGTTGTCGTATTTGTCTTGGTTTTCCATTAATGATGCAATACTCGAGTTAATTTGTTCGCGTGTAGTTTGTACTGTGCCTTCAATTCTGAAATCGTCATTTCTTTTCTAGTTTCGCATTTTCTTTTCTGCTTGAATATTATGCACCTTTCTGTTTGGTGAGTTTCAGCATCGCAGTATTAATTTAACAAACATACAATAAAAGAGTGTTAAGATTTAAAAATTCAAATATGTAAACAATTTGTTCTTTCTAGGATTTGGTATGATGCAATTAACTTTTGCTGTAATTTGAAGGAGTTTCGGTTTTGGACTCTGAATCATTTTAGCTCGTTTATTTCGAAAAGCACAACGAGTATACTGTGAATTTCATCTTTTTACCTTGTTTTATTTAGTGAGGAATCAACTATTGAAAACCAGTTACGTTATTGTATCCTTCACGTAACAATAGTGAACTCTGTTGACCTTTGCAGGGAAAACACAATGCATCAACCATTTTCGCATCAATGATAGCTGGTATCTCGTGGATTTACCAGGCTACGGGTACATATAGTAAATTGATTACCTAACCTTGCCCTTTAGTTTTGAACTTCTGCTGAACAAATGTGATGAGCAAGAGATTCTTAAAGAAAAGTGCCACTTTGGCATATTGGCGAAAAGGTGATTTAAAATGCTGTGGAAGTGTAGGAATTGTTGATTCCAAATCTGATGTGATGTGTCAAACACCACCATCCTGCCATGTGTGTATAATGTAATGTCAAGTGTGTCATCCGTTAAGCTTAAAATCCTTAGCAGCTAGATTATAAGCCACTTTCACTCGGATTTTCAATGTAGGAGTCTAGCAAGGTTGAAATTTTAACTAGTGCTTCATTTTATATGGAACAAACATCCAATTGATTTACTTCCATCCAAGTGACTATAGAAATTCTAGAGATTCAGCTATACTATAGGGTCGTCACATGAAATATTTTCTTATGTATAAATGTTTGTATAGATGGGGGGAAAAAGAGGACACGAAAAAACATTGTGATTGGCATGCATGATTATTAGTTTGCTTGTTTGTGTTGGACAGGTATGCAGTCGCACCACATGAGGTTCGAACAGATTGGGCGAAATTCACCAAGGACTACTTCCTCAAACGCCCTACCCTTGTCTCAGTATTTCTTTTGATAGATGCAAGCATCCCTGCAAAGAAGATTGATCTCGAGTACGCCAGCTGGTTGGGTCAAAATGAGGTTACTGGTTTATTATATTTCATTTTGTTTTGGTTATTTGTCGTGCTACACCCCACCAGATGCTTTCTTTATCAGCCATTGCTACAAAATTTTAGTGAGAAACTAAAAATGTTCAAGTCCACATGTATTAATAACTACATGCCATTTTCGTTCGTTAATTTTATTATTTTCATATCGCATTACCTTTATTACATTTTCATCTAATGTCTATTCAGTATTGACACCTTGAATATTTCAGCATTCTCACACCAAATTTTTCAGGACTGGAGAAAGAATATTATCCCAGACAATCTTTCCCCCTCACCCTCCCTCAATAATTTGCTCAATTTTTTATTTTTTATTTTATCATGTTTGTTGGCTTGGCACTCAGATTCCTATGACATTGGTATTCACCAAATGTGACAAGCGGAAAAAGAAAAAGAATGGCGGGAAAAGACCCGAAGAAAACGTGCAAGATTTTCTGGAATTGATACGTGATTTCTTCCAGACGGCACCCCCTTGGATTATGACCAGTAGTGTTACGAATCAAGGTCGAGATGAAATATTGCTGCACGTGTCACAGTTAAGGAACTACTGGCTCAAGCATTAGCTTTTATTCTGGACTATAATCATTCGAAAGGAGTTGCTATAAAAGCCAAAGGTTTTCGATAAGTGATAAGTGATAACCACGCAACAGATATTTTTGCTGACCGAGTCAGTATCATCATATATTGGCATTCTGCGAATGAATTTCTATGAAGGGTTAGCTGCACAAACTGCCCCCGAGGTTTACTAAATTGCATAGCAACCCGCTATTCAAAAATTACAATTAGCTTCCTAGAAGGTTGTATTTATCAGCAACATTTATAGTATCTAGTTGCAATATATCAGCTTATCAGCAACTGCAACTTAAAATCGAAATGAACCCTTTAAAAACAATGTTTCTTGTTTTTTCGTGATTTCTTTTTTCAATTTTTTTATCCAATAGCAACCTTTGAGTTTGGTTTTGGTTGTGACAAATACTAGTTTGTGTTAGCCTATGTATATTAGTATGTTTGGAGGCGGTCTTAACTAGTAAATATCCTGATTTCATTAATCCAAATTGGTTTGAAGCTGGCAAAATGAAAAAGTACATGGACTATATAAATATTTTGTTTTGGAAGTATTCTTAGTAAATAATATTTGGTTAATGTTTTTTAGTAACTAAAATAATTTTGATAAAAACAATGGACTACTTAAATAATGAAATATGGGTAAGATAAAATATGAAAAGAGAATATTTTATGTGAAGTAAATTGAAATGCAAACGATTGGAGTCAAAATTTAATCGTAGTAGTACAACAATCGTGTAATAAATGGATGCTAAATAAGAACTTTATACTAACAATATATATATATATATATATCGGTTAAGAGAGACCTTAAAGATTGGAATATCTCCAAGGATGTAGCGGTGGATAGGATTGCTTGGAGGCTCGCTATCAACGTGCCNTTGTTCGGTTTCAATGTTCATCTTTGGCCTTTTAATGACAAGATATATATATATATATATCGGGTCACGCTCCGGTGAGAAGGACTCTTAATACGAGAAATGAGAATAAATCGTAGCTATTGGATCTGATGATCTAATGGTTAAAAAAATGTTAAACTATACCTTAATTAAGGGTATTGTAATAATTTTGCATAACACACATAAAGAGGTGGGCCCCTCACACAATAATACGCTGCCAACTAGTACCACCATCCCACCCCGTTTTCTATCTTCCTCTCACACACGCACACACGCACAGAAATTGAAAAACACACAAAGTCACGGTCAGCAACCCACCAGTCTGCCACCGCCCGTCTGCCGTCGCCACCGCCCGTCCGCCTCCATCACAGCCCTTCTGCCCGCTCTCTTTGCCTCACTCTCTCTCTCTCTCTCTCACACACACACACGGAAATCGACAAACACGGTCACTGCTTGCCGTCCCCCTTCGCCGCCGCCGTCCCACGTCACCGTCGACACACACACACAGTCACGGATCTACGCACAACCCTCCACCGCCCGTTCGCCGTCGCCATCGCCCCTCGCCACCGCTGACACACAACAGATCTACGCACAGCCCTCCTCCGCCGCCGCCGTCATACTATGTCCGAACTTACTCTACAGCGCACCAATGGCCGTCGGAGGCCGATGACGGACGAATTGAGTCGGGGATGGCAATGAGCGACGGGAATTAGAATTTTGGGTTTCTTGATTTTTGTTTGTTTTCATTCCAAATGGAGGCCGGGCTTAGACTTTCCTTGAAAGGGCTGTAGAAGGGATTAATCCATCTTTTTTTCTTTGATTTCGGTCCATAAACGCAAGAATCACGAAGGGATTTTCCATCTTTTTTTGTTTTTAGAATTAGATAATTTTGAGGGGCTTTTTTGCAATTTTATTAATTTTGATTATTTTTAATTTAGCTCATAGGCAAATCTGTAATTTTTGAAAATATATATAAATTATTATATTTTATAAATTTTTCATACACATTTAAATATTATATTTTTTAATCGAAAAGATAATGTATACATAAATAAAATAATAAAATACTAAGTATAGTTTTATAATAATAAAAAAATAAATATAATGAAATACTAAGTTATTTTTATAATAATACACGCAATTTATCTCGGATCAATATGACACTTTATACATCATCACGTAGCACTTTGTACAAATACACATTGCATTTATAAAAAAGCATATTGCACTCTATACAATTCACAATTATTGTCGATAGCTTCCACTAAAATACCACACATCATAAATCTAAAAAATTGTATCTATATAATAATATAACATCTATCATATTATCCGTACACAAAAAACGCAAGCATGTTAACGTACTCAAATTACAGTAGTGCACTTTATATATCAACACATTGCACTTTATAACCCACAACACTGCACTTTATAAAACAACTTGTTGCACTTTGTCACGACACTCCACAATAGAGATCGAAACCAGCCAAACTCGATTTTTTTTCAACCACAAATAATATAAACATAATAAATAAAATTATTAACATATTAAGTATAAATTTAGTATAAATAACAAATTATTTCGATTGATTAGAACATTTCGGTTAGCCGAACCGAATAAATCGGCTGATTACAGTAGTGCACTTTATATATCAACACCTTGCACTTTATAACATTCAGTGTTGCACTTTATAAAACAACTCGCTGCATTTTGTCACGACACTCTACAATAGAGATCGAAATCGACCAAACTCGGATTTTTGTTTTCAACCACAAATAATATAAAAGTAATAAATAAAATTATTAACATATTAAATATAAATTTAGTATAAATAAAAAAATTATTTCGATTGTTTAGGATATTTCGGTTAGCTGAACCGAATAAATCGACTGATTATAGTCATTTTCAATTCGATATATGAGAAAAGGTTCGGTTGGTTCAATCTGCATAATACAATATAGATCGTCACCATGCACCATATTGTTGGACGGATTGCACGTTAATAACTGTTAGATTGCACCATATATTTCGTTTACATAATGTATTTTTTTTAATCAAAACATAATATGGAATATTAAATATTAATTTATATTAATTAATATAATTTATTTCAATTATTTTGGTTATTTCAGTTAACCGAAAAAATAAACGTAAATATTTATAATAAAACAAGATATATTGTGCATTAATTAAACTTTTGCTCTATTACAGATTTGCCTCAAGAATTAAATTGAAATAAATGAAACTTTAAAAAAATTACAATCAAACCCCTACAACATATCAAATTCCCAAAATGCAACCCCACAATTCCAAACACATTTTCAATCGTCCCGTTCACACGTTAATCCCGTTCATATTAGTCGGATCTCACTCCAGGAGTTCGTCACCGTTCCAAAGACACTGCCGCCATAAACCTCAGCCATGAATCACTGAATTCCGGCTATCGGTCGCCGCAGCTGCACCTCCGCCAGACGAGTCAGAGCTGTGGTGGACGGACGGCTCGGGCTAAGAGACAGACTGGTGGTGGAAGGCGGAGGCGAGGCGGCGATCTGTTGAAAGTCGGCGGTTGTTGCAGTCGACAATGGAGTTCTCGCCGTCGCCGTTAGTTCGGGACGGGGTGACGGAATCGCCGGGACGTTAACGACGGACGGGGCTTGATGGCGGTGGTGTTAGCTGCCGGCAGACGGTGGCTGTGTGTGTGACTGTCGCCGGTGGTGTGTGTATGTGATGGTGTGTGTGTGTGAGAGAGACAGAGATAGAGATAGGGAGGAAGAGATACAGGTATGACGATGGAGATAGAGAGAGGGGAGAGAGATCTAGTTTTGATCATATATGTGTGGGTCCCACTTATTTTGGTGTATGGTGAATTACTTAAATGCCTCATGATGTATTTATTTGTCCATTTTATGTAATTACGATTTTGCCATTAATGAATTGACCATTGTTATTTAATTTTGACTAATCATGTCCATTGATCGTACCGATCCAATGGTCTATGATCATTCTTATTTCTGGCATTAAGAGTCATTCTCATATGATCCCTTCTCTATATATATATATATATAATTTTAAAATTCTAATCAATTCTTAGAAAACTACATTATTATTTGTATTTAAAATGGCACTGGGTTGTCACCCGTGAAACTCGTTAATTATACATTATAATAATTTTTACAAGCCATATCATATCATAAGCTTGAGAAAAATTAATATTTTTAAATTAAGATGGATAGATAATGTAAATAGAAGTTGATATAATTAATTTTATATTTTAAGTATTCAATATGAATATTAAATTACATATGATTAACTGATGATTAATTTATATGTTTTATATAAAAATTAATAACAAATATAATAGTTAAATTTTAAGAGCAATTGGAAACCAAATAACTAAATAAAGGTATTATAAACTATCCGGCTAGTTCATTAAAATTGCCAAAATGGTATTAAATACAAAAAAGGGAAAAAAATGAGAGTGCAGACAGTTTTATGCGGACGAGGTGGGACAACAGCCGGAGGCGTGCGAGGGCAATGGGGAGCCCGGCATAACGTCGGTCGCAATTTCAATAGCAGGCATGCGCGCAACAGGGAGGCGGGAATGTAGCAAAGCATGCAATAGGGATCGAGTTGCGATATTAGTAATCTATTAGATTTATTTGGTTAGTTTATTATTTCTTAGGACTTAGTTGCAATTTCAATAATTTTTTTTTTTTTTAAATGTATTGATCGTTTTTGCATGAACTCATGAAAATATCAAAATCGCTAGCTTTCTAGCCAAACCCTAGTGCAAAAACCGATGGCCGCCAGCGGGTGGTATGTAAAAGACCTCGGATCGGCTTGGTTCGACCTGGGATGCCTTCCTCGCCGGTTGATAACCTTTGATACCTGCACAAACTCAACTCCAGGTGGTTTTTCGAAGTAGATTTTTTTACGCTTAAGTCAGAATGTGAGGAAGATGATGAATAGTAGTAGAGTACTATAAGTATGTAGAGAGTGTGATGTTATTATGGGCATACTTTACTCCCTTATATAGGAACATGTTACCTTGTTGCCAAGACTGCCTGGATATGGCGTCCAGATTTTCTCGAACTACCCGTTTATATTGCCTGAACTGTCCAGTTCAGTTTTGTTGGGACATGTGGCCCTATCCATGTGTGGTTCTTATCCTAATAATATTTCTTCTTATCCACTAGTACGCCTTATTAGACGGTTTAATCGTGCGATTGTCCTATGTTAATTATCTCGAGGTAGAGTACCTGCCAGTGTTGAGTTCATAAGCCTTGCTCATCTGGTTGATTGTACGGCATGTCGTATCTATAGGTCGAGCTTCAATCAGGCTATCCGAGGTCCCTAAGTTAACCTGCCGGTGCTCCTTTGATCCTATAACATCCTCATCGACCTGATGGCTTTTTGGCCTGTAGCGCCTTTGGTCTTTGTTTGACCTACCAGTTCACCTAGTTCAGTTAGGTTGTTTCTCGGGTTAAGTCGACCCGGTATAGTATCCCCTATCATCTGGTCCACTGCACTCTGGTCGAGTTAGGATAACTCGATCTAATATTGAATTTGATTTTTCTTAGTCTTCGTAGATTTCTCACCTTTCACTTTTTCGACCCTATCACTTACTTTGCCTTTTTTCATAAACGTATTCGACCATTCGTTGGGTTTTCTTTTTCGAAATTCAAATTTCAAGAACTTCCCACCTTTCAACCATGTGAACTTAACTGTCACGTCTACTGGCACTTTGCAATACGTGTCGTCCTAGTGTAGAGCGCCTAATAAATGTAGAATTGATGCTATCCATTCGATCTCTCCACTATCTAGGTTTGGTCGCCTCAGGACAGGATGGACCTAAGGAGAAGGTCGAGTTAGACGTTAAGATAAGGTTAGATACGTCCTCATGAGGGCCACGACAGACTGGTCAAGAGGTCAAATTCACGACATAAGGATACATAGGCTAAAATTGTTAAGGGGGGAAGAATCTAAGTGAGAAGGAAATAATCACTCACTCAAGGACTCTTTTCAAGATAGAGACGTGGTAATTTAGAGAATTAGGATCTGGTTGGATTTCTTCGGTAATAAGAACTCTCTTTGTCCCTAAGGTATCAGGCTTATATAAGGGCCACATGTTCCTTTTCATCAATAACACATGCATTCTAGGACTTATTCATATACTTTTATACAGTTTGAGCGAGTTATGACTTGAGCGATGGAGAGTTTTCTGCCGGGACCCCCTCCCGGTGTATTTCAGGTCATCGAAGCTCAAGAAAGAAGACCTTTCGAGGCGTAAGGTGTTAGAATATGTTCGTGATTCAAAGTGATGTAATAAATTGGAGTCATCTGTGGGAAAACTCATGTCTTTTATAAACAATATTATTACCAATACACAGATGATGTCATAATAATTAAACCTCGCTCATTAGTGCATCAAATAAGTACGTATTGCGTACACATGCCCATTATTTGTTATAGATTCAGATTACGAGTAATAACTGAGGTCTAGTTCATTTATGTGGAAACTACAGAGTGAATTTATCCTCCAAGGTCCTGTTCAATACACTCCATGTGCACTAATTTAATTCATCAGTTAAGGTCAATTACAAATTATACTACAATCGTTCTCAATAGTTAGCTCATTTCTATCTAGTTTGTGAACCATATTTATATTTTTCAAGAAATCGATAATATGATCTCCCGTTCAACAAGATGAAGCATATTATCTATAATATAAAACAAACGAACTTGTCGTATGATAAAATAAAACTCAAACATACACTTGACTAAACATGGTTCTTATTTAAAACAAAAATAAATTTATAACAAAAGCTAATCTTTCAATATACAAACTAACATTGGCTCATTATCCGTCCTATGTGCCACATAAGTATTATCATGTATTTCTTCTTGTCGAGTTGGGTTATCCTCTCTTCTTACCATTTACAAATTCTCTTGCGCGGTCCATGGAATTGGCCAGTGAGAGATTGAGTCGGACATTCGACCACTCACCCTGCTACTGCGTACATTTTTTCCCCTCATGCTCGCTCTTTAGAGTAGTTGTTGGTGTTAAACCAAAAATAGTCCCTCACCAGCCACGATTCCTGAAAATCGCTTGTCATATTTCATTTTGACTTGAGGACTCCTCTCCAGCTCGACCTATTCTTAAGTCATCCAAGAATCCAAGTTCAACCTATTCTTAAGGACTCCTCTCCAGCTCGAGCATGGTCAGGTCTTCCAATTTGACTTGAGCTAGATACGCATTCTCCTGCTCTACTCCTGACTTTCTATTTTTTATTCCAAAATAGATGTTACATATTATATCCGAGATGATATAACAACTATATAACTATCCACATATAAAAACTAGTCCGAGTCAATAATACATATCATGTGAGATATATACACTGTTTGTGATATGTATGCAGTGAGTCAGTTGAGTACGCTAGTGTTTCGAATATAAAAAGAAAAAGCGGAAGCGATTAACTTAAAAACCTCTTCGGGGAGCTTCTTACTACCCCTCAGAGCTCGTTTATTAATAGCTCAATTTGCGCGCATAAAGTACAGTTTGGATACAAGATCCGAACTCTCTTCTAGTCTAGCCAACACTATACCCGAATATGTTAACTAATCCTCTGGCCACGAACGTGTGGACTTCAAACTAGCTAAGGATCCCTCCCAGATGTGCTAGTACTTAATCCATAAGTACGAAAAATATTTGTAAAAATAGAGAACAAAACAAAATTCTTTGGTGGTGTAAGAATACTGAAAAACTTGAAAAACAAATCTCACAAACACTCAAAGAAGTCTTTAAATATATAAACTCCGATTGCAAGGAAAGGAGTCTTCAATCTTCCTTCATTTTGAAGTCGATTTCCTTCCTTCTTTTATCATAGAAATATGACCGAGATCAGCTTCATCTTATCCTTAAGTGCGAGATCTCCAACAAGATAAAAACATACATTATGAAAATAATATCTTCACATAAATGAAAACAAACATTATGGAAATAGTATCTAGACTCTTAGAAAGAGAGTGTGGATTTCCATTTTTTTTTTTTAATTTCTTCGCTTGTATAAAACATGAAAATTTGGAAACTTCTTCCAAAAATAACATTTTACAGTTTGTGGTGTCATTAGACAAAAACATAACTACCAACCATCCTCCATTAAAAACACGCCGCTAATTCTCCCCCAAACCCAAAAAACCCTCTGCAAAACACAAAGTACCAGATCCATTAATTTTGCTGCCCCTCCTTCACCAGCAACCTTCAACCGCGTCGTCCGGGCCGATTTCCACCGAGTCGGGTCTGGGGGATCTTCTTCCCGCTGTTTCTGTGGCCTCTTAGGGTGTATGGCTCGGATTGGTGCCTGCAGATCCGCCATCTCCCTAGCCACAGAAGGGTCGTCGGTCATCTGCGTCACTCCTCAGCCCCTGGAGTCTATCAAGTTGTCGGTGCGTCGCGGTTCAGGTTCCCTTTGTGTAGTGTTCAAGGGCGCGGCTTGACTGCACGATTGAACCATTTTCGAGTTCTCCGGCGTGATTTTCGACGGCTTAGTGGCGGCTCCCCTTCTCCCCCGACATGGTTAGTTTTTCGGAGTTCAGATCTAAATTGAGAGCAGACTTTTCATCAGATCCGACTAGGCAGCACGAGTGGCCGCAGTTTTCGGGCTTGAAGTTCCAGTTTGCGGCTTTGTTGGATCTCTATGCTAGTGGAAGTGACTCATGTGCGGTCTCCGGTGGCCTGGAGTTAGGTCTGTTAGGTATAGGAGAGGTTCTAGTTTATTTTTATATTAGGTGTGAGTTGTTTTTTTGTGTTTTTGTTCGTTAAGTGCAGCTTTGTCTGCTTTTAATGCAACTCTGTCTGCTTTTCTCTCCTATATGGAGTTTTGTGTTGTGGTTGTTCGCCTCCTTGATGGAGTTTGTACCCCTTGCGTGTGATGACAAGGGGGTTGGTCCAGTCTTCTGGTTCCAGTGTGTCATTTGACACTTCGAGTGTACTCTTTTGAATTTTCAATTATTAATATAATTGCCGTTTGAAAAAAAAAAAAAAAA